CAAAACAATTTTCATAATTTTGGATAATTAATTAAGCCTAGAAAAATCATGGAAAGTCATTTATTAATTAATTGAGCAATTTTTATCATACCCCAAAATACTTAAAATCAATATTTCAAATTTTTGTCACATAATATACATCACAAAGAAGTCACACAAAATTTTCATAATTTTTGGAGCTCTAAATAAATTTACACAAAATAACAAATTCCAGCACTATTCATATAAATCAAAAAGCGAAGAAAACTCATTTGAACGCCGAGTCAACGACATCGGACCCCACATGTCATCTTCAACCTTCGCGCGTTGACTACGACGACGACGGCGCTGACCAGCGCAAACTTCGCCGACGGTGAATCCAAAGGCGACGGTCAAAGGTACCAAAATGACCACATCATCACGGCGCATCGATTGAAGGCACTAGCTGGGCAATTACTACGAGCTACGAGCTTGGCATCGGCCATGGCGGACCAGCGGCGGCTCGGCGGCACTACGCCGGCGATAGGAGCTCGGTAGCGATTAAATAAACGATACAGAAGCACCGGTAGCTCACCACGAACACGACGGAGCGAGAGAGCAAAGTTTGGAGAAGCGGCGTGACGCGGGGGTCGGCGTGCACAAAGCAATGGCGGCGGAGCAAGGATCGTCGGTGATGGTGTGCGGTGACTGTGGTGATCAAAATGAGCAAGCAACAACGGATTAAGCATCACACGGCATCGAGGCGAAGCTGGAGCTACGCTGTCGAAGCAACGACTCACCGGAGGCCACGACCACGCGGTGAAAGCGGGATCACCGAAAATTTTGCCGCGCGAAGAAGAAGTACGTTGCGCGGCGTTTCCGGCGAAATCGAGACTAAATTGAGGGGTTAGCTGGGCGCGCAAGGAGTAGGCGGAGCTGGAGCTAGCTTATCGGCGATGGCGAACCTGACAGTGACAACACGCAGGCTCGCCGGGAGATGAGCAAGGTGACGGGGAAGAAAACGAGCAAAGGAAAAGAAGAACGGCGACGACTCCAGAGCTTTATAGGGCAGCCAAGGAAGCGCAAAGGAAGCCACGACCGAAGCCTTCAATAGCATACAGCCTTGAGACTGACGGACACACGCTGCATGCTGGAAGCAAATCGAAGTTCACGCAAGCATGTAGCAAGAGCGGTGAACACTGCTTCATCAATATTACAAATTGCCATTCTCCAAAATTCACAAATTACTCTCAAAATTTCATAACAACTCAAAAATCTCCAAAAACAAAAGTTGTTCAAAATCAAAAGTTCTACAACTTTGCTTTTGAAACCATATCCAAATTCATTTTACATTTTGAAATTCAAATTTGAATTCAAAAGGGGACACTTTAAAGAATTATGCCTTTTCAAATTACTTCAAATTTTACTAAACAACTTTGAAAACTCCAAACACCAACTTTGTACAACTTGACAAGATCTACACTTTTGCTTTTAAGCTCAACCCCAAAATATGCTTAGATTTTGAAATGAGTTTTTAGGGTAGAATTTAAATACTGAAATTAAGGTTTTCGGAATTTCAAAACAATACAGGTATTTCAAACTTGATTCAAACAATACAATTCAACACTTATACATGAATGTAAACTTGTTTTAGTGAATGCATATCAACGTTTGCAATATGACCAAATGCTTTGCAATGCATATGATGACATGACAGTTTTAGTATTTAAAACACCCGGGGTGTTACACATCCCTTCCTTAGTGGCGCGCTACATCGGCGCCCGGGTGTAGTAAAAAATGAGCAAGGGTCTTCACATCTGAGTCAACGGGTGCGAAGGGTAAGGAAGCTAGTCGAACCAAATAGGATCCATTTAGGTAGTTGGAATGTAGGGTCACTTACAGGTAAGTTAAGAGAATTAGTTGATACCACGACTAGGAGGCGTGTAAATATATTATGCGTTCAGGAGACTAAATGGAAGGGTCAGAAGGCAAAGGAGGTGGACAATACAGGTTTCAAGCTTTGGTACATAGGGACATTCACGAATAGAAATGGTGTAGGAGCTTTGATTGATAAGAGCCTCAAGAATGGTGTGGTGGGAGTGAGAAGGCAAGGAGATAAGATTATCTTAGTCAAGCTTGTCGTTGGTGATATAGTCTTGAACGTAATTAGTGCGTATGCCCCCCAAGTAGGCCTCGACGAGAGTGCTAAGAGACAGTTCTAGAAAGACTTAGATGGCCTGGTTAGAGCTATACCTAGTAGTGAGAAGCTTTTTATAGGAGGAGATCTTAATGGGCATGTAGGTACTACAAGCGCAGGTTTCGAGGCAGTTCATGGAGGTTTTGGGTATGGTAGTAGGAATCAGGAGGGGGAGGAAGTTCTGGACTTTGCAGTAGCTTTTGACTTGATGATAGCCAACACTTTCTTTAGAAAGAGAGAATCTCATCTAGTGACCTTCAGTAGCGGACAACACTTTAGCCAGATTGACTTTGTCCTCGCCAAAAGAGAGGACAAACGAGCATGCTTGGATTGCAAGGTGATACCAGGGGAGTGTGTTGTTTCTCAACATAAGCTTTTGGTGGTAGACTTTCATTTTCAGGTGCATGCTCGTAGGGATAAACAAGCTAAGATTGAAAGAACAAAGTGGTGGAAACTGAAAGGGGAGACGTCAGAGGTATTCAGGGAAAGGGTTATCAAAGAGGGCTCTTGGAAGGAAGAAGAGGATATAAACAACATGTGGGAGAAGATGGCAACCAATATTTGGAAGGTGGCCTCAGAGGTGTGTGGAGTAACCAAAGGATGTGGAGGCGAGACTAAAGATACTTGGTGGTGGAATGAGGAAGTCCAAAGGGTTATTAAGGAGAAGAAAGAATGCTATAGACGCTTGTACCATGACAAGAGTGTGGACAACATAGAGAAGTACAAGGTGGCAAAGAAGACTACAAAGTGAGCTGTAAGTGTGGCAAAGGGTAGAGCGTACGAGGATCTTTACCAACATTTGAGTACAAAGGAAGGAGAGAAGAACATTTATAGGATGGCCAGGGTTCGTAAGAAAAAGACAAGGGACTTCAACCAAGTTAAGTGCATTAAGGATGAAAGGGAGCATCTCTTGGTGAAGGAGGATGAGATCCGACATCGATGGCAAGAGTATTTTGATAAATTGTTCAATGGTGAGAATATGGACATAACCTTTCAGTTGGATGACTCTTTTGATGATACCAATAGGCTCTTTGTGCGGAGAATCTAAGAATCTAAGGTCAGAGAGGCGTTGAAAAGGATGAAATGAGGTAAGGCGATGGGACCGGATGGTATCCCAATCGAGGTGTGGAGATGCCTCGGGGACATAGCTATAGTATGGCTAACCAAGCTATTCAACCATATTTTTCGATCGAACAAGATGCCTGATGAGTGGAGGAGAAGTATATTGGTACCGATCTACAAGAATAAAGGGGATATTCAAAGTTGTACTAATTACCGGGGAATTAAGTTGATGAGCCATACTATGAAGCTATGGGAGAGAGTTATCGAGCATCGCTCGAGAGCAATAACGCGAGTCTCTATGAACCAATTTGGTTTCATGCCCGGAAGGTCAACCATGGAAGCCATTTTCTTAATAAGACAAGTTATGGAGCGGTATAGGGAGAAGAAGAAGGATCTACACATGGTTTTTATTGACTTGGAGAAGGCTTATGATAAAATACCAAGGAATGTTATGTGGTGGGCTTTGGACAAACATAAAGTCCCAACGAAGTACGTCGGGCTCATTAAGGACATGTACAACAATGTTGTGACTAGAGTTCGAACAAGTGATGGAGACACGGATGACTTCCCGATTAGGATAGGACTACATCAAGGGTCAGCTTTGAGCCCTTATTTGTTTGCCTTAGTGATGGATGAGGTCACAAGGGACATACAAGGGGACATCCCTTGGTGTATGCTTTTTGGGGACGATGTAGTGCTAGTTGATGAAAGCCAGAAAGGAGTGAATAAGAAACTGGAGTTATGGCGGGAGACTTTGGAGTCCAAAGGTTTTAGACTCAGTAGAACTAAAACTGAGTATATGAGATGTGACTTCGGCACTACTACTCGGGAGGAGGAAGATATTAGTTTGGAAGGTCAAGTAGTGCTTAGGAAGGATACCTTTTGATATTTAGGATCAATGCTACAGAGAGACGGGGATATTGATGAAGATGTTAGCCATAGAATCAAAGCAGGGTGGATGAAGTGGCGGCAAGCATCTGGTGTCCTATGTGACAAAAGGGTACCACATAAGCTAAAAGGCAAGTTTTATAGGACGATGATTAGACATGCTATGTTGTATGGTGCAGAATGTTGGCCTACAAAAAGACAACATGTTCAACAGCTAAGTGTCGTGGAAATGCGTATGTTGCGTTGGATTTGCGGTCATACAAGAAGGGATCGAGTTCGGAACGATGATATACGTGATAGATTAGGGGTAGCACCAATTGAAGAAAAGCTTGTCCAACACCGGTTGAGATGGTTTGTACATGTGCAACGGAGACCTCTAGAGGCGCCGGTGCGTAGTGGAATCCTAAGCCAGGATAGTAACGTGAAGAGAGGCAGAGGAAGACCGAAGTTGACTTGGGTAGAGGCAATAAAAGGAGACTTGAAAGGATGGAATATACCCAAAGACTTAGCCTTAGATAGGAGTGCTTGGAAGACAACTATTCACGTGCCTGAACCTTGATTACTTTTGCTGGGTTTCAACTCTAGCCTACCCCAACTTGTTTGGGACTTAAAGGCTTTGTTGTTGTTGTTGTAGGGAACCGTAGATTGCTTGTGTGAATGTGTTAGGGAACAACATATGCTACTGCATGCAGCCACACAATAAAAGTTGTCAAGTCACATTACTAAATTGCCAAGCTACAATTGAAAAATTGCTAAGGCACAATAAGTAAATTCCTTAAGCATAAACACATACTCTGTATATTGGCTTCCTCTAGTAGACCTTGCATGCGCACACACTGCATCATAGACATCACAAACATCTTTGGTGCACTTGAAATCCAGCTTTGATGTGTAATCAACATATGGTGATCGCAGGTGTAACTGAAAGTTTACCACTACTATGCTCCTCAATCAGTGCTTTCCTCTTTCTTGATTCATTCTCTTTGATGGCATCATCTTCTAACTTCTGAAATTCTTCTTCTGGTATCTCATCAAGTGAGCATGTAGCACCACCAAAACCTCCTGCAGACTTGGTGGAAGAGATGTTGTCTTCATCAAAAAGCGTGAAGTCTGGAGGGGTAAAATCTAGAGGATCCATCTTTGCTGCACTGCCTGTTTCTTGTTGGACAATATTTTTTGAACTAGGAACCTTGAAACTGTAGCCTTCTCCAACATTGTGCACCAAAGTGGCTGTGGTAGCACCATCACCTGCATATAAACTAAAAGAAGATATAAGGAAAGATGGAAGAATATGGAAATGAAATGTTACAGTAGGTAGCTTCAACATTACCTGTATCTTTTTGTTCAACTGGATTACTTGGCAGCCGTAGCTTCGACTGCCTGTTGTGTGCAATTCCTACTTTCTTAAGATTTTCAGGTAGGATATATGCAAGAGGTTGAGGTTCAGCTGGCCTTTCATCATCTTTTGCTCTCTTAGGGCTAGAGTGTATTAGAGATTTGCCATCTGGAGACACAGGTGGACTTGAATGCTTGTCAGAGCCTTTATCTTGATTTTCAGCTTTCGTACCTTTACGCATCCTCCTTAACCGCGCAATCAAAGGCACATGATCTTGACTACTGTGCTCATCTTCACTGATGTTGTCAATAAACATGCCATCAACTAGATAATCAAAATCAGGGGGTGGAGTTCCCCCATCTTCAAGTGGATCTGATTCTTCTTTTGTATTCTCTGAACAAGAATACTCTCCTGTAGTTTCTTCTTCTTCATCAGTGCCATCATATTCATTGTCATCTTCTTCATCATCATCACTTTCATCTTCATCATCATCAGTGACATCATCTTCATCTTCTTCATCAGGCAGCTAATCATCCTCAGGTGCTTGTCTTGTTTGCCTAGACCTGGTATGCCTTTGTTCTACATGTGGTGGTTGGCAATCAGATGCAGCACCATCTCCATGAGAACTGGTTGTGGAAGATGGTTCTTCGATTTCGGATACTTTTTCTAAGAAAGTACCCATAAGGTTGGTAAAACTAGCACAAAACTCACTCACAGCAGTAGTTAGTTTCCTCTTTTTCTGCAAGTGAAAACAGTGACATGATCATTAAACAAATGCGAGGAAACGACAGGAAAGCTTGACTGAATTTTAAATGTGGATACAAAGATTAATGAACAAGAAAAGCATAGGATGAAAGATGATAATAAACAGCAGATTAATTATCACTATACTACTATGTTATATTTGCCTAGCACAAACGGTGTAATTGCCCAACAAATCATTTAAAAATACTACATTAGATTTATGGACAGACCTCATCGGACATGTTCGATGACACCTTTGAAGACATGAATCTACGCACATCATCTAATTGGAATAATGAAGATTGTATAACTGTATGGACAGAACTTTTAAGCTGAATAAATTAAAAGAGAAAGAATAAGAGTAGATTAGGAACATAGGTTATTTTTTGTGATAAGAAAAAGAAAAAAAATACACAACTGTTATAATCCATACCTTGAGCTTTCCAAAGGAGCCGTCACGGTTGGTGTCTAACTTAACTACCTGATCTACCAAGCTCCTTGACCATGCTGCAATCCTAGGCATCGTCGCTGGGATGTCAACATTTTCAACCAGCAAAGAGTCTACATATAGGATCTGAAAAGAAGCACATGTACAAAAGAAAATGGTATCATCAAATACAAACAAGGCAAAATAGAAAAGAACGCGGCCCCTAACAGAACTCCTTTTTCCCATTTTTGAAGCCGATTTCTTCAGCTAGTCAACCACAAATTAACATCAATTGAGGTCTTTAACATGAGAAAGGTCCATGATTGATGGGTAGCATCTAGGACTGATTCCTATGCTGGTAGGGGGGCACAAGAATGTTAAAACAGCAAGCATCAACCAAGACCTTAGAAAATCATCACTAGCTCTCTTGGTGGACTACACTCTTTTCACTATTGCCCCAATCCTAGGTGCTTTTCCTCGAGCAATTTTATACTTGGCCTGAATGAAGTCTATTGCATTGACATCAAGCTCATATTTTACTTCATCACCATTGTTTGGCAAGTCCATGATAGACTGCAAAGCTTCAGCTGTGACTTTAATTACACCTCTTCCAGGAAGCACTAGCTGCGAAGACTCAGCATCGAAACAACCCACCATTAGCCAATTTTCCAACCTTGCTAGTAGTGTATCATATTTTATATTCAGTAGGCCTCCAAACCCGATTGCCTTTATCCTATTGTGTTTAGATTCAGTCATTTTCTTATATAGCTTAACAAGCCGAGAAGGGGAAGCTCAGTTCCTTGTACCCTGAACAGTAGTCAAATGTAAAATGCTTAAGAAAATATAGAAAAATGCTACATGTGACACACAAAAATGCTATACGGGGCACACATATGTGTCAGAAAAGATACAACATATATAATTATTATAAAACAGAAAGTATGGACATACTTGATTGGAAGAAGATGCGTGTTGCTGCTGTCGAAGTCCTCTAGCCATTTTCCTGCATACAATGAAAACATGTGATAATTGAAGACAATGTTGATGGTGGAAGGTAATATAAAGTGGATCAAAAAATAGATCAATGCACATGGAGTACTACAAGTTGTGCACTTGGAACAATACTGAGAATGGGATAATTTTTCCAACAGACGGTGCAACCAATCGGGCCAGCTTGATAGGAATCAGGTGACTCACGTATTTAGGCATGCTGATAACAACCTCGACCACCGTCAGCTGGTGTGTTCACATATGAATGTTTTTCTAAAATTCAGAATATTCAGATTTATTGTGTTACTAATGAGATGTGTGTGCTTGAGGCCATGGGAAACAATGGATCAGACACAGCGGGACACTACTACTTGCTGGTTCTAAACCTAAGGGGAAAAAGATTGGAGGTAATGGACTCGATGAGGAGTTTGGGAGATGAAAGGCTAAGAAAAAGCTGCAACACCATCATGGAGGGCATTAAAACTCTATGGAGGAAACACTACCCAAACTCAAAAAAAGACAGAGAACTACGACGTTGTGGACATTGGTGTGCCAAAACAATCGAATAAGTAAGTTGAAAATTAAAACCGGTTCTTGTGCTGCAGATTCTATACATTGGCTAAATCTAATAAGTGTTGCACATTGTGTTATTGCAGCCATGATTGTGGATTTCATATGCTCATGCATGCTGAGCACTGGGATGGCCGTACAATATACAACTTTAAGGAGAAAGATATTTCCAATATACAAAAGCTATTGACACACAAGTGGGTGACACACCCGACAATAAAACAAATTGGAGGGACAAGTTAAAGCTAGGTCATGTACGTGGGAATAAAAACTAGCAATTTAGTATGATGCACAAGACATTTATGTATGAAAAAGAAAGCAATTATGATGTGCATTGCGGGTGTCTTATGGTAACAAACAAATAAAGTCTGAATATATACAGTACATAGGCTGAAAACCATTTTTAGAGAACACTCTGTGTCAGACTTATGAAATAAAACCAAAAAGGCAATCCAATAGTGAGCACACTTAATCTTTATCCTTATTTTGCAAATAAAAAAATTTCAGCAACCATTTCAACAAATGAAACAAAGGTGTGTTCACTTCAGCTTTTTGTGGCTGCAGTTTCACAATAGCTTTTTGCTGTACATAAAACATGTACAGGCAAGAGGCACACTCATTGTTCAGCCTAGCTAGCATGGAATGTTAGTGAGGCAGTGGTTGCATGAACTTGTATATATGTACATTTGGTCAGCACTTGCATGCAATGCAGATCAAGGAAGCAGCATGGAATTGTTTAGCCAGTGCAGCACGAGTTTCAGGCACTAGATCGGAACCGCGGAGATGTTTAGAACGTTCTAACGGCCGGTTAGAGAGGAACCAAAAACTACATGTTATTCTTGCTATGCCTTGCATAGCGTGGCTGGGCAATTCTGGGCATGGTAGCTTGGGCTGGCAAAAGAACCAAGCAGGACCAAACCGGCTGCACCAACAGATAACAGAATCTGCTGTGTTTGCCATCTCTTCTCCCACCTATTCTATTCTTAGCTTAGGCCCCCTGCCTCCTTCCCTCCCCACCCAGCTCATGTGTTACATCAAATGCATAGTCATTCAGAAATACAGAGAAGCGCACAGGTTGAATATAATTCAACAATAACAAAGAGAGGAACCACACAAATGCACACATGTAGTTAACAAAACTAAGAACATGCCTAATACCTAGTGCACATTAATACTCAAGATCTACAGAAATTAGGTCTGAGATATCCCAAAATAAACTCACCATTGCAACTGTAGTAGGAGATTCCAACCCTCTGTAGTAGGAGATGCACCAGTAGCAACTGAAGTCCAAATGCCCAATATTGCACCTGCAATGGTAGATCCACCGGGGATTTGTATAGGCCAGATCCCCCGACCATAACATGTAGGGTTAGAACAACATGCATTGAAACGGGTAAGAAGGACAAACGCATCCGAAAGGGGAACAAACCAAATCAGAGTCAATTTCGTCGGTGAAATCAGTTGCAAGGCGAAGACGTGAAGCAATGCGGGCCGGTGGAGCACCTCCCAGTTGCACGACCATCGGCCTAGGACGCGTGAGGTCACTGGGGAGAGAACGAGCGGTAGCCGGGGAAAGCACAAGCGGCCGCCGGGAGCGCCTGCAAGACCGTCGGAGATGGGTCGCACGGCCGCAGGGAGAGAGCACGCGGACACCGGGGAGACCACGATCGGCTGTCGGGGAGGGTACCACGGCTGCCAAGGAGCTCCTCTGCAGTAGCTGGGAGGGGGTGAGGCCTGCGCAGCAGCTGACAGGGGCGCAAGGCCTGCATGACCGTCGGAGATGGGTCGCATAGGACGTCGGGGAGCGCTGGCGCGGCAGCCGCGGGGGTGGACGGGGGGCTTGCGCGGCCGTCGAAGATGGGTCGCGCAGGCCGCCGGGGAGCATGAAAGGTCCTAATGGCTAGAGGGGGGGTGAATAGCCTAATAAAAATTTCCACAATAACACTTTAACAAACCGGTTAGACAATTATGAGGCGAAGCAAGTGTTGCGCTAGCCTATTAAAAATGCAAGACACCTACCACAATTTTAGTTTCTATTGTTTCTAACCACACAATAGCTATGGCACCACACTAAGTTAGTGTGCTCTCAAAGACTAACTAAAGAGCCACACTAACCAAACTAACAAGCTCTCACGACTAGCTACACTAAAGAACTTGATAACTAGTTTGCGGTAATGTAAGGAGAGAGAGAGCAAGATAGTTATACCGTCGTGTCGAGGAGTGAACCAATCAATCACAAGAATCAATATCAATGAAGACCAATCACCTTGGAATCAAATGATGAACACAATGATTTTTTACCGAGGTTCACTTGCTTGCCGGCAAGCTACTCCTCGTTGTGGCGATTCACTCACTTGGAGGTTCATGCGCTAATTGGCATCACAAGCCAAACCCTCAATAGGGTGTCGCACAACCAACACAAGATGAGGATCACACAAGCCACGAGCAATTCACTAGAGTACCTTTTGGCTCTCCACCGGGGAAAGGTCAAGAACCCCTCACAATCACCACGATCGGAGCCGGAGACAATCACCAACCTCCGCTCGACGATCCTCGCTGCTCCAAGCTGTCTAGGTGGCGGCAACCACCAAGAGTAACAAGCGAACCCCACAGTGAAACACAAACACCAAGTGCCTTTAGATGCAAACCCTCAAGCAATGCACTTGGATTCTCTCCCAATCTCACAAAGATGATGAATCAATGATGGAGATGAGTGGGAGGGCTTTGGCTAAGCTCATAAGGTTGCTATGTCAATGCAAATGGCCAAGAGAGTGAGCTTCAACCGGCCATGGGGCTTAAAAAGAAGCCCCCACGAAATAGAGACGTTGTACCCCTTCACTGGGCACAACAAGGGGTGACCGAACGCTCCGGTCATATTGATCGGACGCTGGACCTCAGTGTCCGATCACGCGATGCATGCCACGTGTCCCCTCTCTTCAAATGTTGATCGCCCGATCTCAATGGTCAATAGATGACCGGACGCAGCAGCTCAAACTGACCGGACGCTGAACCCCAGCGTCCGGTCGTTTCTAGTAAGCATCCAGAGACGACTTTTCACGACCGGACGCGTCCGGTCATGCTTGACCGGACACACCCAGCGTCCGGTCACATGGTGACTCTCCTGTGTGCTGCCACGTCAGCTGGACCGGACGCACCCTATCAGCGCCCAGTCACCAAGTGACCCAGCGTCTGGTCGAAGACCGATGCCAACGTCTTTGCTGTATCATTGACCGGACGCACCGGTCTCACTGAGACCAGCGTCCGGTCACTGCGTGACCAGTGTGACTAACTCCTTTTCAACTCTATCTTCTTCACCCTTGCTCAAATATGCCAACCACCAAGTGTATCACCTTGTGCACATGTGTTAGTATATTTTCACAAACATTTTTAAGGGTGTTAGCACTCCACTAGATCCTAAATGCATATGCAATGAGTTAGAGCATCTAGTGGCACTTTGATAACCGCATTTTGATACGAGTTTGACCCCTCTTAATAGTACGGCTATCGATCCTAAATGTGATCACACTCACTAAGTGTCTCGATCACCAAAACAAAATGGCTTCTACCATTTATACCTTTGCCTTGAGTCTTTTGTTTTTCTCTTTCTTCTTTTCAAGTCCAAGCACTTGATCATCACCATGACATCACCATCATCATGTCATGATCTTCATTGGCTTCACCACTTGGAATGTGCTACCTATCTCATGATCACTTGATAAACTAGGTTAGCACTTAGGGTTTCATCAATTCACCAAAACCAAACAAGAGCTTTCAATCTCCCCCTTTTTGGTAATTGATGACAACCCTTTCACAAAGATACGAATTGAAATTCAATTGAATCCATGTTGCTTGCCCAAGCATAATTACCATGTGTAAAGGATATGGACAAGTTTCATGAACCTCAAATGGTAGCAATTGCCCCCCCCCCTACATGTGTGCTAGGAGTTTGGATTGTAGCTTGCACATATGCTTAAATAGGAAATATAGGAGACAATGTCTACCAAATGATGCTAAGGTATAAAAGATGGACTTTTGAAGCGTGATACCAATCAGAGTGCACCAATATACCATCCTGAGCACCATGGTTAGCTTGATACCACTTGGAAACACTTGGAAATGAAATCACTAGATAAACTTATGCATGCTAGATTTTTATTTCATCATTCAAACCTACAACTAGCATACACCATATAAGC